ACTGCCAGCAACCAGAACTTTTCCACAGTTAGAGGAGAGACAGGGCCAGTGTGTCCACCTGCGCCTCGTGCAAGGACAGATGTGCTTGGAAGGCTCTGCAGTGACAGGGTGGGTTTTCACTCTAGGGTGCTGGGGTCTCTTTTCCACCACCCTTTCTGTTGAGTTGTGTGGCTGGAGTCTCTCCAAACAATCTTCTTTGAGCTGGGGAGTCAGGAAGTCCTGCAGGTTGCTGTCCTGGAAAACAGAAAGGTCCAGAAATCCTCATCAGGAAATGATCCCGAAAACTGTTCAGGAGTCCTGAACTGGACTGAGCTGGGCAGAAACTGTCAGGAGGAAGACAGAGTTCTCAAACCTGAACCCCAAGCAGTGAGGCAAGTCCAGGCAATGGGCCAGGTCTAAGGTCCTCTCTGTGTTCCACCCTTGTTAGGTTTTGATTTCTCAGAAAACGAAAGCAGAACACTCCACCCACTTTGTATCTGCCCTCCAACCTCAAAGGGGAAATATTTCAATAGCAACTTCTTGATCAGTAAAAATCTAAAAATGAGAGGAAAGGGAGGGAGTCAGTTCTGACTTGAGTCCCGTTCTCAGAAGTATATACCTGGAAAACAATGCTGCAGCTCCGCCCCCTTCCGCAACTTTTACTAAACAGTTACATTTACATTTTTTTAACTCGTTTTTTCTTTTTTTTTTGTCACTTTTTTTTTGAGGCAGAGTCTCAAGAAACTTCCTGTGTAATCAAGTACCTTAACCTCTTGATCCTCTTGCCTTCACCTCCACACTTCTGGGATTACAGGCATGTGCTATCATGTTTAGTTTATGTTTAAATTAATTTCTAGCATAAAGGATACAGGGTTTTATTATGTTATTTCCATAGTTGTGTACTGTTGTAGTATTCTCACATTTCATCTTTCACTGCCTTTTCATTTCTCTTCCCTCAAGGACGACCTTCTGATTTCTAGATTCCTTAAATGAATTCATAAAAATAATTCCATAAAAACAATGTGCTTTCTTTTCCTGCTCCTGTCAGTGTGACCACAGCCCCACATCAGTGGCCTTACCCACCCTGTGTGTGAGAGCACCCTGCTCACCCTCACTCCCAGGAGCACAGCCAGTGGCCGCAGTTAGAATTTATTCAGACATTACCCGGAGCAGGTGTCATAGGGTTTCCATTGCTGCAGTGAGACGTCGTGACGAAAAAGCAAGTGAAGAGGAAAGGGAAGGGTTCATTTGGACTACACTCCCACAGTGAAGTCAAGCACTGGAGGAAGCCAGGACAGGAATGCAAGCAAGGCAGGAAGCTGGGCGCGAGAGCTGATGCAGAGGCTGGGCCCTCCCGCATCAACCACTCATGAAGAAAATGTCCTATATGCCTGGCTTAAACTGCAGCTTGTAATGATTTGTAATAAAAAGATCCTCATTATTTGCAATGGACTCGACTCCTGGTAGTGGTCTTTTGGGTTGTTGTGATTTGGGCACAACACAATCACCAACTCTTTACTCCTTTCCTGTGACTGGCCACCCCGAGTTGGGACAAAACCACAATGGAGACTACTGTGCCCAACACCTTGTGTCAAAATATGGCTGGACGATGCTGCAGCCCGCCCCGCTCCCCTTCAATTTATAATCTCATCCTTTGAGTATGCTGTGCAATTTCCTTTCAGGAACACAATCAGCTCCCATGTCTGTGCTGTTGTCCTTGACTGGGCAGTTTTTGCTGCCTAATTTAAATAAAGATCTAGCTTTGCTGGGCTCTTGTGACTGTTTGGGTTGTTTCCGTTTTTCAGACGCCAACACTTTGAATACAGAACGGAAACAGAAAGAACTCATCAACTATTGTTTCAAAAGTGCTCTGAAGTCCCCAGTTAGGCTCACCACCTTTGTTAGTCACCCACAAGTGTCTGCACAGGATATGGAGGGTGGGATGTGACATGTTATCTAACCAGAGAGGAAGTGACAGGAATCTAAAGAGAACAGACTTCTCTCTGAAGAATGGAGGCAGAATTCCTGGGCATGCACCTTGAGGGTCCACAGGCAATCTGGAAGGCTTGTGAGGAAAAGCCCGAGTGTAACAGAGTAGACAAGGCGGTGAGCACCCAGAGAGATGCTCTAGAATTTACAGACCACTCTCATGAGGTGTGCTTGAGACAGGAGAGTTCCAAAGATGGCATTTGCCTCAAGCACTTGTAGAACGCCTAGATTCCTGATGTAGATGATGAGGGAGGAGAAAGAGAAAAAGACGAGGAAGAAGAGGAGGAGGAGGAAGGAGGAAGATAAAGAAGAGGTTAGAGATCCCTTGGAGCAAGGTGCAGACCCCGTTTCACCCCCATAGTGCTCATGGCTGTGAGATCTCAAACCTGGGACTGGCTAACTGAGGCGTCTATTAACATGTTAGAACTGACACTGGCCTCCACATTCTCCCAGCATCCCTCAGTTCCTACCTGTTACAGGGTCCTCCTGGCTGCCATACCGTGCCCCCTACCCTCATCCACTCCGACCCAGGGACTGGGATGGGCTTTGTCTTCCCCCAGCTTCTCTGATAGCTGTACAACCCAACCACATTGGCTAGGCCAGCCCTTTTGCCCTTTTGGCCTCTTGGTTTCCTGGATTCTTGGCTCTGGGCTCTTCCCTCAGCCTTCCTTCTTCTCACATGGCCAGGCTCGGTAGGCCAGTCATGTCCAGTCTGGACCCTTCCAGATGCCCGTTTTCCCCCTCCTACCTACAACAAACCTCCTCCTCTTCCACCCCTAAGAGCAGGCATATCTTCCTTTTATTTCTTTTTTCATTCAGTGGTCTAGTCTTTTTGATCTTTCTGCTCTTTTCAAAGGTTATCAACTTACTTTGTAGAGAAATACGCTGAAGAGAAAGTGTTATGATGTATAAAGAAAGACTGCCAAGCAACCTATATGGTATAAAGGAAGGAATTTTACTTGAGAAGAGAAGGGGAGATGAATTAGGGCCTTGGAGAAGGGGTAGGGGTAACTGAACATTTGGACAGGCAGACAGACAGATGGGGACAGAGCCATGAGGGCAGAGAGACAGAGACAGAGAGAGGAGAAGAGAGAGTAAAAACCGAGAGAAACCAAGAGAAAGAGCTGGAGGTACTGGGTGGGTCCTTTTTATCCTGTGCACCTGGCGTGCACCTGGAAGTGGTGGCAGGTGATGACATCAGAGGTTGCTGGGTGGGACCACCTATAGGTAACGGAAAGAGTCTCCACACTTGTCTATTTCCAATTGATTTTTATCCTTCCCTGCCTTAGGTGCCGGAGCCCGCCGGCAGAGGCCAACAGTACCTGAGTGGGGAGTAAGGATTTAAAATAATTAAAACAGAACACACTATACAGAGGATGGCTTGGGAGGGCTGTCTGTCAGTATGACTGAAGCAGCAGCAGCATGGATTAATTCCAGGGTCTATTCTGTATTCGTAAAACAAAGACAAGTCCCATCAATTCAAAAAGAAAAGGGTCATGGAAATGCCCAAATTACATTTCAAAAACTATCTCCCTACAGTGGATAAAGTCCTATTTTAAAGCTAATTTCCTAAAGCTGTTATGGTCCTAGGTCACACAGACAAGCTTTTTAAGGAATTTGGAGAAACTTCCTCCTTTTTTTTTTGTCAAGGTAAAGGCCAAGATGAAAACATAACATTGCAGCTTAAGGAGTGGCTCTGCACACTGAGGGAAGAAAAACTGGATGGAATCAACACCACTTGGCTCTGGCAGTGAGGGCTAACCAGCACAAGTCTTCTGTTTCAGCCTTGCTCTGTTGGAAACTGTAGGTCTTTTGGCCCCTGGGAAGCATGGCTGTCAATTAACATGGACAGCCCGTGACACCTTTCTTTGGCCTAAGGCCCACCACTCAGGTTAAGGCTGCCAGCCACTGGGCCCCAGGGGGTGGGGTCCTCCTGACTCCCAGTCTCCAGCTCTGGGATTGCAATCATAGCATTTTATGTGGGTTTGGGTACCAAACTCAGGTACCCATGTGTACACGGCAGGCACCTTGTGAACTGAGCTCTCTCCCTGTCTTAAGATGACCCTTGTGAACTAAAATTCTTTCCTGACACTAACCTGAGCCCTGCTCCCCAGGGAAGAACCAGATTGTGGGTTCTGTTTGGAATTGGTTAGTGAAGTGCAATTGGATTTCACTGTTTAGTTCGGTGAGAAGATGCTTGACTTAGTAGTTCATTATTCTAAATCAGCTACAAAGTAACGGGTCTTGTGACAGTTTTAGACATATCTAGCTTTAGTTGGTTCTACATATTTCTCCTTATCTCACTACCTCCCCACATACTCCTGCCCCCCCATGCTCTTCACCCCAATATACCCTGTTCCGCTCACTCATCACATAGGTACTGTTATTCTCACCACCACCCCAAGACCTTTTCCACTTCTCATGGCCTCCTTCTACCTTCCTGGCCTCCACTTGTACTTACTCCCATCTAAATACACAACACCTGTGGAGCCATCAGAGGCTAAGATCTGTATTTGAGAACTTTCACCGTGCACATCTCTTCCCCTCCAATTACAGATGTCCAGTCCTTGTGTTCCTGCTTCCTGTTTTCTGAGAGTAATGCAGCCTCCAACCTGTCCCCAAAGATGTGTCATCAGCAGACGTTGCTGCCCTATGAAGTTCTCTGCCTGTGATGCTCTCATGAGCTCCCACTGCCTTGAGAGTCCTTCAACTTCCAAGGCTGTCTACCAGGTACCCTACCTACCCGCATGTCTCCACCCTTGACCTTGTCTCCACCTCCAAGTGTTTCTCATGCACCTCAGGCCAGTGGCTGTTCTTTGGCAGCAGAATGGTAGGGTGTCCTCTAAGCTAGTTACAGGGTATCTCAAAAGCAGGGTTTCATGAGGCCATGGTAACATGTCCTCTTACTTCCTTGGTCTTCAAAGTTCAGAGCCACAGTTCTGAATGCCACAATCCCAAGTAATCAAAACATCTAAAACCCAAAAGCCTGGAAGATTCAGTCTGGAAAAACAAGAAGAATTCTTTAAAGGACCTTTGTGATGTTGTGAAAAGATCATTTATTCTAGAAACATAATAAAAGGGCAAAACAATTTTTGGCAAGTATGACTACCCAAACATAACAAAGCTTTATGGAAGAAAGATGAAAAGCAGATGAAGTTACCAACTGTAAACTGATTGCTAAATCCCTCTTCCTCAACCTACTATGGCATCCATCTGGAGCTTGACCCATTCCTCCGCGGTAAACCTCTTCACGCAGCCGTCTTCCACGTGCCAAGACTCAGGCTCTGCAGCGAACACTGCACAGCAGAATCTCTCCACTCTCAGCGCACAGACATATGAACACACAGCTCCTGGTCTGTGCACTTCGATGAATCTGCACGTGTACTTTATGTTCTCCTTCTCCTCACAGAAGTGAGTGACAGGCAGCTGCTGGATGCACTGTTCTATTTCACCCTCTAGATGCACAAGATCGCTCTTCTCTGCCTCAAAACCAATTATTTGCTGCTTCTTCCCATCCAAACCAATGAACAAATATCCCCCTTTCGTGTTTGCAAAAGCAGAGACAACTGGAGGGAGAAATTCTTTAATGCGTTTTTGCAGTCCTTTCGCTGCAAACGGCATAATTTCAACATAGGCAGATCTGGTGAACTGGAAAATTTCTTCATGCTGAAATTCTGTCTTGTTGAAAAAGGCAACAGCCAAGTCCTCCAGGAGAGCCTCTTCCTCTACTCCAGGGCAGGCTCTCCTTGCAGGCAGCTGGGGTCTGACACGGGGTCTCCCTCCAGTGTCCTGCAGGTCTAGGAGGAACTCCAGAGCATCAGCAGCACTCACTTCTACTGAGGATGACATGCTTCTTAGATACAAATTGGTTCTCAGGGTGGCAATCGGCAGCCCGCAGACATCCAGACTCCATGATTTCACGGAGATGTAAAAGTAGCCTGCACACACCCTGAAGTCGAGGTGCCACTGAACAAATGGCAAACCTTTACAGAGAGAGGCTTCCAGATCCCGGCCTAGCCCATCCCGAGTGAGGCTGTAATTGGGGTTTTCAAGTGGAACCTTGATGGCCCCGCCTCCAGAATTCAGGAGAGCACACACAGCTTGAGAGATGCACTCGTTCTCCCTTTTTCTGAGCAGACTGTTCATTTCCTTTCTATTCTTCTCTCCAAGTGTGGTGGCCCCTACATTTAGAACCAGCTTAGCAGATTCGTCTTCCAGATCAACACTGATGCCCATTTTCCCAGCACCCTTTCCATTTGCAAGCTGACTCTCTTTCCTGGAAAACAGACAGAGCCGTTACAATGATACCTAATCAGGACAGAGCATATTCTGTATGGTGAGACCAACAGCACAGTCTTTGGCTGCACCTGTGCCACTGGACCAGTCAGTGTGCAGGTGGAGAAAGGGGTGTCACAGACTTTGCACTCAGTAGCAGAACTTACATGCACACTGGTTTTGCAGATGGAATGTTACAAGTTGTAGTTGAGCCTATTTTGAATTTTCACTCATCCCCTTTCTGGTTCTTAGCACTGTGTTCAGCCTTCTTTAAATAAACCCTCACTGGACTCTGCATGCTGTTGGTCTTTTCTTCAGGATAGGCTTTAGTTATGCAGTTTTTTAGACTTCTTTATTTTATGTCTATTGGTAATTTGCCTGCATGTATGCCTATGTAACCATGAGCCCTGGCGGCCACAAGAGGGCATCATATACCCGGGAACTGGAGTTACATGTGGTTTTTTTTTTCCCTAAGTGGGTGCTGGGAAGTGAATGTAGATGCTCCAGGGGAGTGTTCTTAAACAATGAGCTATCTCATGTATGGTTAGTGCCCATTATGTCCATTTTGCAATTAAGCTATTTGTTTATCATTGGCTCACTGCATCATCTACTTGGATATTAACCCCTTATCAGATGTGTAGGTTATAAACCCTTTCTCCCTCTGTAGATTTTCTGTTTGTTTGTTTTTTATTGCTTCTTTTGATGTGCAGAAAAGTTCCAGTTTGATGGACTTGCAGGTCCTGAGGTTTAGTTGCATGTGCTTTAGAAGATCACACCTGCACTAGTTTCCTCTCTGTTGCTGTGACAAATACCCCAACCAAAAATACCTTTGGGACAGGATGGATATATTTGCAAATAAGTCCAGGTCACCACCCACCACTGAAGGATGTCAAAGCAGGGACAGGAAGGCGGGGCTGCTTGCTAGTCCACACAGCATCATTACCTCTGACAAAAGAATTCATTTCACAACCAAAGAAATGCAGCAGGAACCACAGAGGACGTTGCTGGCTGGCCACCTTTCTTAGGCTGCATCAGGGAACAACCAAGACAGTGTCACACACACCTACTCACAGGCCAGTCTGATACAGGCAATTCCTCAACTGATGTGCTCTTCCCAGAAAATCCTAGATTGTGCCTAGTCGACAGTTAAAGGGCAACATCCAAATGACCTTTGCAAAAACCAGTACCGAAGAACGTTTTTCTGTGTCTTCTTTTAGTAGCTTTTCAGTCTGTGGTCTTACATTTATCTGTATAGCTGATTTTTACCCTTTTGATTTGTGTAATGTGGTGTGAGAAAAGATCTAACCCCCTTTCCTTTCTTCTTTTGCATGGGTCATGATTTCCTATTGGTCATAGGCTTCCTTCCCATGGTACCTCCATGCCTCTTTTTTACTGGTTAGTAGGCATGCTCTCATCCTCAGCCTCAGTGTGAAGTGAATCTTTAGGTCTCTGGGGTTGGGGAAGTGGCTCAGTAGGCAAAGTGCTTACTTACTGTGTAAGTGTGAGGAACTGAGTTTGGATTCCCAGCACCCACATAAAAAGATGAGAATGACTGCATATGCCCAAAGTCCCAATGTGGGTAGGCAAAGAGGGGGTCCCCTTGGGACTTGACTGCCATGCAGTCTAGACAGTTGGTGAGTTCAAGGTTCACTGAGAGCTATCTCAATAAATAAATAAATAAATAAATAAATAAATAAATAGATAGATAGATAAATAAATAAAGCAGGGAGCTAATGACAGGGTTCAGGGGGTAAAGACACTCTCCAACAAGCCTGATGACATGAGTTCAATCCACATAGTGGAACAGAAAACCTGTCTCCTTGTCTTCTGATTCCATACAAGCCATGGACTGGGCCCACCCACACCAAACACACTAGAGAAATAAGTAAGATGAACAACAATACAAAGATATATGACAGTCGAGTGGGAGTGACACACTCCTTTAGTGTGAGTTCAAGGACAGCCTGCTGTACACAGAAAGTTCCAGGACTGCCATGGCTCCATAGAGAAACCCTGCCTCAAAAAACACAAACAAAAAAAACAGGAAAAAAAAAAAAAAAAGACATCTGACATTGAACTCTGTCCTCCAAACTCTAATATATTACGAGTAACTAATCCCAATTAATTCCTTAATCCCAATTTCTTTTTCTATCTTAGGAAGGCTGCCCAGGAGTGAGTTCATTTGCTCTACTGATGCCATGGGGGAAATCCTCCATCCCCACCTGAAAAGGCCACTGAGAGCCATAGGTGCTGGTGTCCCCTACTTTCCCAGCACCCGGGATGCTAAAGCATGAACTGTAATGTCCTGTGTGTCTGCAGGAGAATGGCCCCATAGACTCATATATTTGAATAATTGAATTATTCAGTTGAATGATTGAATAATTAGCAGGTGTGGCCTTGTTGGAGAAGGTTTGTCACTGTCACTGGGCTCCTCTTTGAGGTTTTTATTTGTTTTTGTTTGTTTGTTTGTGAGACAGGGTTTCTCTGTGTAGCCTTGGCTGTCCTGGACATGTTTTGCAAACCAAGCTGGCCTCAAATTCACTGTGATCAGCCTGCCTCTGCCTCCCTGAGTGCTGAGATTAAAGGTGTGCACCACCATGCCCCATCCCCCACTTACCCTATTCCAGTTAGTTCTCTCCTTGTCTCAAGGTCTGAACTCTCAGCTATAACTATTTGGTTAGAGTCATCATGGAGTCAGCATCAAAGCCAAAGGCAAATTAAATTCTTCCTTTTATAAATTGACTTGGAGTCTTAGTTATGGTTATTATTTCTGTGATGAAATGCCATGACCAAAAGCAAGATGGGGAGGACAGGTTTTATTTGCTTACAAGTCCACAATTTACTCCATCCTTGAAGGAAGTCAGGACAGGGACTCAAACAGGGCAGGAACCTGGAGGCAGGAGCTGATTCAGATGCCATACAGGGGTGCTGCTTACTGGCTTGCTCCCCATGGCTTCCTCAGTCTGCTTTCTTATGGAACCCAGGACCACCAACCTGGGGCTAGCACAACCTACAAGGCCCTCTCCCATTAATCACCAATTAAGAAAATGCTCTCCAGGATTGCCTACAGCCCGATCTTATGAAGGCATCTTCATTGCCGAGTCTCCTCCTCTCAGATGACTATAGTTTGTGTCATAATGACATATATTTAGCCAGCATAACTGAACCCTCGTCCTTTTGAAATACAAACACATCACTGTTAAGCCACAACCTTTCTTGTTCTTGTTCATCCCCAAGATCACACATTAATAAAGACATCCTAATATAAATTATTTTTAAAGTGAAGAAGTCCCAGTACAACCTAGGCTATAGAGCAATATCTGCCCAAACCCACCCAAACCAAAAGCAAAGAGTCCTACAAGGTTAAAGAACTCCTTTCAGTTCAGCCCAGTCAGAAGCTGCAGCCATACCCTGTTCCATGCACTGCTGAGCAGTCTCTGTTCCTCCTTCCCTCCCAGCCCCTCCTGTCCAGCACCCCAAGTCAGGCTCTGTCCTCAGCCACCACCCTGAGTCATTGTGCATATGCAAAAGGGACAGAAATCACATTTCACACCAACGTGAGGAGGGACAATGTTCAACCCTCTCTCTGCTCTGGCAAAGTAAGAAGCCAAGCCTCTGGAATGTAGTCACATTTACAGGAGCTATGGGCTAGCCTGGGACACTGACCATTTCACTCTGACATTTGTGACTATGTGAAGGTTTAAAAGGTACTCTTTCAGGCTTGTATCTGAGACTCACTCCTTTGAAAACACACAGGTCAAGTTAGCCACAAACCCGGCACCCATGTAAAGTGAGTAACCTCCTTGAATTTTAGGTGATTTCCCAAGCAGATTTTCTCCCCTGAAACTGTAGTGGGGAAAAGTCTCTGACGAGCTCTAGTGACTTCTTTTATCATCTTGAGTACTGTTTCTCCCTGCCTGGTGGGCATTTTTACCCAACTTCCCACAGGGTCAGATGTCTAGAAAAATGGGGAACCTTCAAGGGGCCCTCAAGACCAGCAGGAGCCTGATCTACTCCTAACTTCTCATTAGCAAACAGGCACACCCTGGCCTGCTTCCAGGGACCTAGCAGCAGCTGGTCATCACAAGCCACTGCCAGGTGCTCCTGGTGTGTGCTCTGGATAAAAGGCCCCTCAGACTCCCACTCTTTTTCTCTCTCATCCTCTCCTGTGTTTCTCTCTCTGCTCCCTCTCTGCCTTCTCTCAAGTGTCTCTTCAGTTTCCTCTCTTGTCTCTCTATCTCTCTCTTTCCTTCATGTCCCCACTCCCAGATGCCTTTCACTCTCCCCTCCCCCAATAAACCTCTTACTGTAGATCTGTTTCCTAGCACAGTTCCTCAGGGTACACCTTGTTACCACCCGTAGGGTATTTTGATCCTTTCACCCTCTGCTGTCTGCCTCACCAGTTCAGGCTCAGACCATGCTGTACCTGAGCTCTCTCCTTGGACGCTTAAGCTCTCCCTCCATCCCAAGCAGACACAGGCATTTGCTCTCCCCCACAGCTCACCAGCTTCCCAAGTCCTCCGCTGCCTGTAAGTTGGTAAGAATGGGCTACGCAGACTCCAGGGAGCCGATTCCTCGTAGAAACATAAACGAATCAAGATTCCTAAGACAGGATTGTACCGATGACTCCCATAAAGTTCCAGAGCAACTGGGCGGTACCCTGGGTGAGGAAGCTAGGGACAGAAAGGCAGAGGGGGTTGGGGCTTGAGTGGGCTGTAATTCAGTGGTCACTTACCCTTCAGTTCTGCGGTGGTCTTGCTCAGTTGCCTGAAGTCCAGGACTCATGGCTGCTCCCAGTCAGCCCCCTCAACAGATGAAGCAGGCTAGTGTCACGTGAGAAAGACCCTCCAGTCCCCTACAAGTCGGCGTCAAGTCCTGGACAGGGATGTCTTGGGGGTGGGGGGGCTTTGACGCTTGAAGAGTTCTAGCTCAGGCCCTGGTTGTGTGCTCAACTTTAAGCACAAAGGAGTTCCCCTTATGCAGATTGTGCCTGCCTCAGCGCAGCTTTTAACTGCCATTCTTCCAGGAAGTAAGAGTGCTCAGGAAGCAAAAGGCGTGGCCGTTTTTTCTATTGGTCGGAATGAAACACAAAGCTCGCAGTTGAGAGGCTCTTTCAATCTTGACCTGAAGAAGGCAGTCCCCAAACCGCTAGGCTGTTCAAAGAACAATCCAGGGCTTAAGACATGGAGAGCACTGCTATACAGATGGAGGAGACCCCTCTGGGTGCCCCGAGGATCCTACAGCCCTCTGGGAAGATGAGATTCTGTGGGATTCCCAGGGCTACCCTAAGGCGATACTCCCACCCTGCCACTTTGGTAGAGTAATTCCTCCCTAACCTGTTGCATGAAAACCACCCTTAAGAACCGATGCTGTGTTTGAGTGCATAGGAACTGAACAAAATATTCAGCTACTTTGTTTCATTTTCATAAAGTGCCTTGCTCTGACTCTGCACACTGTCACCCTCTCTTAGTCTCCTTTTCCCTATAAAATACAGGCTTGGGAATGCAGGGGGCTGAAATGTTCAGTTCTATGGGCGTCTCTGCTGTGAATTGCTTTGTTTGGGGAGCATCACCCCAACTCTACTCCTGATCCACTGCCGGCTGGAAGAAGTGCAGCCCAGTATCCCACTGTCCCTCCACGCTAGGGGTCCAGAGCCGGGGCTCTTCCTCAGGGGCTGTGCTTCAACTCCTGTCACCCCCAGGACAGCTTTGAGAAAATGGCTTCACTGACCTTAAGATTCACTACTTTAATCTTTTTTTTTTTCTGATTTCTTTTTTTTTAATTTTTCATATGAATTACAGTTTATTCACTTTGTATCCCAGCTGTAGTCCCCTCTCTCATTCCCTCCCAATCCCACCCTCCCTCCCTCATCTCCCCCATGCCCCTCTCCAAGTCCACTAATAGGGGAGGTCCTCCTCCCCTTCCATCTGACCCTAGCTTATAAGGTCTCATCAGGACTGGCTGCATTGTCCTCCTCTGTGGCCTGGCAAGGCTGCTCACCCCTCAGGGGGAGGTGGTCAAAGAGTCCAGCCACTGAGTTGATGTCATAGACAGTCCCTGTTCCCCTTACTAGGCTACTCACTTGGATACTGACCTTCCATGGGCTACATCTGAGCAGGGGTTCTAGGTTATATCCATGAATGGCGCTTGGTTGGACTATCATGCTCAGAAAAGACCCTCGTGCCCAGATGTTTTGGTTCTGTTGCTCTCCTTGTAGAGCTCCTGTCCTCTCCATGTCTTACTCTCTCCCCCTTCTTTCATCAGATCCCCTGCACTCTGCCCCAAGTTTGGTTATGAGTCTCAGCATGTGCTTTGCTACACTGCTGAGTAGAGTCTTTCAGAGGCCCTGTGTGGTAGGCTCCTGTCCCGTTTTCTCCCTCTTCCAATCAATGTCCATCCCATTTGTCTTTCTGAGTGAGGATTGATCATTTTACCCAAATTCCTCCTTCTTGCTGAGCTTCTTTAGGTGTACAGATTTTTGTAGGTTTATGCTATATTACATCTAGTATCCACTTATAAATGAGTATATACCGTGTGTGTCTTTCTGCTTCTGAGATAGCTCACTCAGGATGATGTATTCTAGATCGCACAATTTGCCTGAAAATTTCATGATTTCCTTGTTTTTAGTTGCTGAGTAGTATTTCATTGTGTAAATGTACCACAATTTCTGTATCCATCTCTTCTTTAATCTTTAATTTAAGACAGGAAGTACAGGGGTTGTCCTGGGTGTCAGTAGTAAAAGAAAAAGAACACATGCAAAACTTCAACTTGGTGCTCTATACATTTCTGGGTATTGAACTTTTTTGTCTTTGCTTGGGTATCAGGAGGTGGAAGAGGAAGTTGTTCAGGGGAGTGAGTCAGCCAAGCCAGTCCAGTGAGCCATCCTCTTCCCCCACCCCAAGCCAGATCCTTGTGACCATGAATGCACCCTACCATTTCCTCAGGAAGTAAGTCACTGGGCTAGCACAAGGCCAGGACCAGCCAACAACCAGGGGCTTTGAGGCACAAGAGGAGGAGAAAAGAGGGGTAGGATAAGTAGGGGAACCAGGGAGGAGCAGCATCTTACAGAGAAATTTTAATTCAGAACATAGCTGTTCTGCAAGAGATCACCTCCAAAGACCCGGGTCTGTGGTATCCGGTTTGAATACAAACATGCCTTTAATCCAGGAACACAGGCAAGCAGATCTGAGTTCAAGGCCAGCCCAGTATAAAGCAAATTTAAGGTAAGGAAAAGCTTGGATCTAGGCATGGTGGTACATGCCTTTAATCCCCAACACTGAAGGGGTTTGTAGGAGGAAGCACCCATGCTTGAAAGTGTCTATCTAATTGAGTGACAGAAAAAGTGACTGAAAAATCAGAGAAAGAATTGACAGAATAGGATTCGCCCGACTCCTATGACAAGAGAGAGGAAAGGGACACTACTTAAGAGGCAATTCAGAGAGAGAAAGGAGGCAGTTTTGCCAGGACAGAAATAGACAGGTTGCAAAGAGAGACCAACCTAGACTTAAATGAATACCGAATGAGCCGGAGGAGAATGAGAATGAACCAGGAGATTAGAACAGATTGCTGGAGTTAGTTTGAGGGCAAACAGCGATTCAGGGGCTGAGAGAGAGGTCAGATTGAATAAGTCAGCTGGGAGAGAAATTTTGATCCAGAACAAATGAACCAGTCAGCCCGAAGTTCAGTAAAAATAAGAGTGGGTGATCTTGTTAAAGAATAGGTCTCAGAGGTTGAAAATGTTCTAGGCCTAGGTTAGATTTTTACAGAGGCTAGAAGCTTCCAGGACCAAGTCAGTCTAAGTGAGCAGACAGAGGCAGTAAGCCACAGCGACAATTGGAATAGGAGAATAAAGTTCCTTTGACAGCATCTAGACCCAGGAGGCTGCTGGGCTAAGGGGGTCCAGTGCCTGTGGTCTGTTGTGCCCGCAGGCTTTCCAGTTGTCTTCTCTTCTTTCCCTCCCCTCTTCTCTCTCCTCCCTCTTCCTAGCTTCTCCTACCAGTCATTCCTCAGAGCCCAGGTCAATTCCAAAGTCTGCAAACAGAAATTCAATTCCAAAGTGCAGGGGGTGGAAGAGACTTCAGATTAGCTACCTCTCCCCGTCTTAAGATGACCTTGTGAACTAAAATTCTTTCCTGACACTAACCTGAGCCCTGCTCCCCAGGGAAGAACCAGATTGTGGGTTCTGTTTGGAATTGGTTAGTGAAGTGCAATTGGATTTCACTGTTTAGTTTGTGAGCAGCTGCTTGACTTAGTAGTTCATTATTCTAAATCAGCTTCAAAGTAACAGGTCTTGTGACAGTTTTAGACATATCTAGCTTTAGTTGGTTCTACATATTTCTCCTTATCTCACTACCTCCCCACATACTCCTGCCCCCCCATGCTCTTCACCCCAATATACCCTGTTCCGCTCACTCATCACATAGGTACTGTTATTCTCACCACCACCCCAAGACCTTTTCCCACTTCTCATGGCCTCCTTCTACCTTCCTGGCCTCCACTTGTACTGTAAGACCTCGAGTTTCACTGCTCAAGAGCTCAGGATCGCGCCCTTCCCAGGAACACTCACAGACCACAACTCGATGCAAAAGCAAGAGGTTTATTCCAATCCTGATAGGGTCGCCCCTCCAAAGACAGGAGACGACCCAGAACATGCAAAGCACAGGGTTTTTATACCTGAAAATCAGACCACTTTTGCTCTATAAATCGATTGGTCAGCAAGAATAGCATGAAAATAGTTTACAGCTGTTTGCTTATGGTTTTTCTCAGAACAGTTCACCCTGCCCTTCAAGAGCTATCTGCACCTGGCTTCAATGCAAATAATCACAGTTGTTTTTCTCATTCCCGGGTGATCCCTCACTACCCACTCCCACCTAAATACACAACACCTGTGGAGCCATCGAGGCTAAGATCTGTATTTAAGATCTGTATTTGAGAAGTTGTGCACCGTCTTTCTTTCTGAGCCTGGGTTTCCTCACACAGTGTTTTCCATTTCTAGCCAATTTCTTGAAGTTTTTATAATTTCCTTTCTCTTTGTGGCTGAAAAAAAGTTCCATTACATATACGACCAAATTTTCATTATCTATTTGTCTGTCTAGGTTCAATCATAAATATTAAACATGAAGAAGTTAATTTTCTGTGTGTGGTTATTTTGATTTGTTTTACACAGCAAGAGAGAGAGAGATGAAGGGGGAGAGAGAAAAAATAAAGTTTCCTCCTCCTCCTTCCTCTCCCTCCCTGTCTGCACCTGGGGACCTGAAACTAGTACAGAAGAGGTAAGGGGGCAGGGCAGAGATGAGCAGAGACAAGAGGCTACAGTAAAGAAGAGACTGAAAGAATAGCAGAGCAGAGGCTAGAGAGAGAAGGAGCCCTGGCTGTTGATGTCTCTCCACCATCAGCTTCAGAAAACTGTCATTTTAAAACTGAGCTGTGGGCTCTGAGCAATTCACTCCTGGACTTACTGAAGCAATGCCCCACACATCCTGCTGTCTTTTGGCACTTTGCCTCACTCATGTTCCTGCGCTGCTGAGTCCTCAGGAAGAAATGGTGCCTAAGGCCTTGAAACTTATCTTCCTCTACCAAACCCAAACTTGTGTCCAGGCCACAGGTCCGCAGGGACACCTGCTTACACACTCTCCAATACTCCATATTTCCAGCTTTTTAATTCTCTTTAAACCATTAAAATTTAGGTTACATCACTTGAGTTGTCAATTTTTGTTGATGTTTAACCAATTATGTTGCAAATATATGTAAATTTACCCAAGGTGAACTGAAACATTTTTTAATTTTTCCCACTGAACATAATGTAGCGATCTAAGTTAACATTTTCTACTTGATTACAAGACACTTCCATACAGAAGTGCCTTCAGATTTTGCACGTTTTGCTAGATTTATTCCTTTATTCTTACATTATTTATTTAATGGTATATAAATACAGACTTGAAAGAATCCTGCAATGCCTTTACAGGGCTGTGAATTGATTTTTAGATTTTGGTGGTCCTATTTTTTTTACCT